ACCACCCGCAATGGGTGGTAGGATCGATACGGAGAAATATTGGACAGGTGCTATGTGAGGTTAATGTGGGTAATTTGATTTGGACCAGGCATTCCCATCAGCTGCGACCAACTAGCATCCCTGCGGGCACAAGCGCTCGGTTACTACCGTTAGATATTCTACTAGAGAGTTTCGACATGCCATCTAATCCCCAAAGCAATTCGGATGCATCCCGCACAGAAGTCTCAGAGGAACCGAAGGTCCAGACCCGGCGCTGTACTGATCGACTACGGAGACCTGTCGTAAGAATGCAGTTGGATCCAAAAATGAAGTCTTATGTCAACTTTTGCGGGGGAAGGTGTTAATGGGACGGAACCAGCCAATGAGAGCGTTTTACGCTGAGGGCTATTGATTTGGCCATAAATTGAATGTACCGTTAGTTGGACGTTAAGCAAAATATACTTGCCAGCCGTACGCCGGTCTCCTGCTTTGGGAAGTCGGGCTGATCAGAGTGCACGCTAGCAGCAGGTCATCGGTAGGTCAGCCGAAACCAACACGCCATATCAGTGCAGGATGTATCCACAATGTTGTCGCAGACGAAAATACACTACACTTGCAATTAGTACAGACTCGCGATCAGCACGTGCGACCAAGCTGGTCATATTTTCCATAATACTTAGGCAAAGTATCCTGCAGGAAAGGGCCATAGATTACAAGTTAGATTACTGCAAATGACTTGTGCCTGACCTCTTCTCGATCAGCACTGATGTTCGGTGGGTGAATTTGGCCTACAAACGCTGCAAATCGTGGGAATATTCTAACACTTCCTAACCACACCACGATAATGCAAAGTAGACCGTGCGTGCAACTTGACGTGTTGATGCCAATGCCGTTGTTTATCACAAATTCAGTCGTTTTTTCATTGGCAATGCTTCCGTCGGCGTTGGCAGATTTACTGAGGGGCAGCGGCATTGCTACCGATGAGCGTGTTTCGCACGTAGAATATCTAACATCTCTGACTGCTGGAGTGCCAGTGTTGGGATGAGTAACACCAAAATATTTCCATCTCTGACTGCATTTAACATCTGCATTCCGATAAACACTGTTATTCCTTCTCATTTGTCCACCAGGTAAGCTGTGTGACACTTTGGCGCCTGGCGTCCAAACACTTCACGCCCTGATCACCAGCTCTGATGGCCGAGTGGCATCCAATGCTATAACACTTCTGGCCGACCTACTCATACTGACCCCAACGCGCTCCACCGAAACGCAACCCACAATGCGTACAAGTGCGAACCTGGATATGTTTGGCGACCTGCGAAACCAGCAAATCCATCGACCTCTGTTACCATTGAACACACCCCACCAATTGTTACCTGAGACCGATATCGTCTGGACTGAGTTACGGCTCCTTGTCAATGAGGTGTCATCGCGGCTCTTGGACAGTCCCGAGGTCGCTGTACGTCAAGGATCCCTACTTGTTCTAGGCAACGCGTTGTATCGCTTCTTCTCAGCCTCATCTGTGGCGCTTTGTGTTCTGGACAAAATTGAAGCCATCCTTCTGGAAGATGCCTCAGCTCGGCTGCGAACAAATGCTGCTGGTAGGTTGCTTTTTTGAAACTAAAGCAAATTGATTTTTATGAAACGCATTGTGGTAGTCCAGAGTACGTTGTTCCGAACGAAATTGTTTGCCAAATCCCTGCACTCCGACTGAGCTGGTATGAAGTGGATCTTTGTGTATTATGACGTCTCTTCCAAGTAGCGCATTGTAAGCCATCCCGTCCTAGTTGAATACAAGGGTCTTCAACACTCAAGAAATTTATGTATATTTTTGCTCAATGAACTCGGTCTTAACTTCCAACGTACCGTGCGTCTCGTTGCTTTCATTTCTTCGATTGAGAATGAACTACTAGAGTCGGTTTCATAGAGGTGAACCCGGTGACGTTGTTCATTGGGAAACCACTCCACGTTCAACGAATTTCTCATCTGTCTCCTCTGGTACTGCTTGCTCTCTGGTCTGGACGATGCAATCAAAGTTCCAGGCACGTTGGAAGTTAAAGACTGTAGGTCACCTGATAACATATGTTTGCGTGTGTACTCCTCAGCATGGTGTGATTAGCTTCCATGGAGATGCATGTCTATTGGATTTCGGGCTCAGTTGACACTTTTGACATTGCGATGGTTCACTCAGCTCCCGTTGAACTAGTTCATACAATTAGCATTTCTTACATCGATGGTACCACAATGCACTTAAGAGAGGCACAAGAGTTTACGTGCCACCCTTAGGTGCACAGGGCCCCCAGGCTTTGTATCTTAGAATGCACAGTTTGCTTGGCCACTTCCCGTCACGGTGCTATGGTAACTTCTTTGTGAATCATCCAACAGACCGCATAGTTTTCATCCTTGCTAAAAATTCATTGCTTTGAGGGCAGTTTGTCTATTGAGCAAAATTGGGTAACTGAAAATACGGTCGTGCGCACCGTTGCTAATTTTTATCGAGTCGGAACGGTACGACAAAGTTCAGATCGATTTCATCTGAGAGTTCACCACTGTCTAGCAGCGAAAAGCAACCAGCAACCTAGCGTCGTTGCACGTTAGTTATAGTACAGGGACTTTCCTCAAATGGTAACCCATCTCTGGTACAGGGAAAAGAATCATCCGTGCTAAAGGACTATCAATCCAGGGCCGATATGACATACTCCGTTTTATCCATTCAATCATCATGTCATGCTAACGAAATTGTTTTACATTGCGCGGGTACTTTATGTAAACTTTCCAAGCCACTCACATTTGAACCATCCACATTATCTGTCCCAGCGTACATGCCTGGGCCATTCGGAGACACTGCTTGTCCGCACTTTAATTTGTGATTGATGTGGCCAACTGGCTTTCGCTAGTCTTTCAGTGCAACAAATGTTTTGCACTTGTTGCCTACTTGCTTGTCATTGACCCCTTTTTGATCACGGAGACAACTACGGAAAGCCATCCGATGGCGATCGTTTGTTGGGTCCATTGGTATCTGTTGTGCAGGATTATTCAGACTCTGAGTGACTTCGGACTAGCTTTAATTTGTAATGAGCCTCAGTCATGAGAATTATTTGGACTGCAGGAATCATAGAACGGAACTGAATAAAATTCTAACTGGTTGCATTTGCAGTGCTCGGGATAGCAGAAGTTTACCTTAGTCTAAGCCACAATAGAGGTTAAGACGGCGTGTCCAAGCGGCTATTTTCCAACACATAGCAGGAGTTAATCACAAGGCTTGGGAACCAAGTGACAAAAGCGTCAGCTGACAACCAGATGGTTCCTGATTCGATTACCATTTGCTGCTGTGTCACCTGAAATGTTCGGATGAAGACGAAACGAGTTGCGGAATGCATTTGCAAGAGATCGAGAGTAACAGTGAAATTGTCTCCACGACAGAAGTTGTTTGCTGTGGCGTTATATCGACCATCGTTGTTCCCTCAGTTGGCTGTCTGTTATTTGCTAGTATCAAGAAGACACAGAAATAGTATGAAGCTGATATGACTCCGAACTAATAATAATCCGCGGCAGAACATCAGTGTGGGTAACACTGTATTGTACCGATAACAAGTACTACAACAGCGTAATCACGATAAATTTCATCTACATTTACTAAATGTCAGTATTACTGCTCCGTAACAGAGCCATCGTACGATGAGCACTTAGCGGTTTGTGCAACCTGGTCCAATCGTAGTGAAACGGATTTATTTAAGTTTCTTGTAACGTTGCTGTTACACGCACAGCATCACTCCTTCCTTGACTGGCTAGTCTAGCCGCATCTTGATTCGATCAAAATACTGCTATCTGCACACATCTTGCCTTCAACTAATCCAGGTTTGATCAGGGCTGCAAATAGATCACCTTTCGTTGCCTCATATCAGGCGATTAAAATCACATGACTGGTCGACGCAACAGTATGCCAGTGAAAACTGAACAGACGGCTTGAATAGGTTTACTATATTCCTTCGACATTCAAGCAAATTAACTCAGGTAACAGGCGTTGAAACAGAACCCACAAACCCACGCAGAAAAAACACGTGTCAGTCTACGGAACGAGGGCAATCACACTCGGTCATCTCCTGTGCTTCACGTGTGTGAGTTATCCTTCTTGTACCGGCAAAGCACAGCAGAGAAATTTACATGCACTCTCTGTTTGCATATCTCTGCGTTATTCTGACCGCAATCGCTTCGGCTCTCTTCAAGAGACATCTACTCAGATTATTTCAACGGTGCTTACCCATCGATGAATTTCACTGGCGAATTGGGAAAGGAACGCAATTCCGTGTTTCTGCACATATTGCTGAGGACGTGTGAGCATGTCTCACTTAAAGGGAGTGTCTTTCGGATTATTACGTGGGTTGACCAATATGCGTATTTTCTCTTTTTCGTGTAATTGACGTACAAACGGAACTTAGTTCACCGCATGTATTGCAGGGTCTGCCAACATTTACAGCCTATTGACACTTGAAGACGAGTTATCAATTTGTTTAAATGTGGCTTTCGAATGGCTATCCTGTCCCATTAATAAAAATACGCACCACTGTAAAGCCTATGGTAGCCGTTCAAAAAGGATGTGTTTCACTGTTCAATTAATGGGAAGTTCCAATTCCATCTCCTTAGCAGACATTCCTCCACAGTAACCGGAACTTACTCAGCGTCCGCCCCGCAGTGTATTAGTCAACATCTCAAAATCAGACTACCGGTCACCACCTGAGTGTAGATTGTACACCACTTTACTTGCACCTGTGTTAAGTACCCGGAACTTTTGACCAGGCGTCTATCAGTACGAATAAAGGAGCATCGCCCATTGTCACTGCGGAATGTCGCAATCATACGCTTCAACATTTCCGTCGCGTAACACAGTCCAAAGTGGACACCAAGATTTGGCGCATTCAACCCCTACTACATAAAAGCAATACACTAATGCCCTGCAGACAGCTGAAGCAATTGCGCTGAGGTTAACTCAGCGAAAACTACACAAGCAGCTAGTATCTGAGCATTCTTTAGAGAACTTGTCCACATGGAGCACGAGGGACGACGGAGTGTGCATTTCTCGATCTACCCAAGTGCTTTTCGGCTCTGTTGCAACGCCTGTCACCTGATTCGAACTGCTTGAGGACCGAACGAATGTAGTAAACCTGTTCACACCGTCGCAGTTCAGCTTACATCAGGATATTCTTGCGTCGACCAGCCTTGTAATTTTAATCACGTGATATGAACCGCGGAAAAGGGGTTTGTTTGCAGCCTTGACCGACCATGTATGTTTACTTTTAAGTGAGCATAATTGGCAACGTTCCTCTCCTGTACAGGCATGCCTCTCGTTATCGAGAATAAATAAGTTGGTTATTTATTTAATAGGACAACAGTATAAGATTGCCCACCAATGCAATCTTATTCCTGCGCGTAAAGCAGTCAGCATCAGGTTTTGGAATATGCGCACACTACTGGACCGGAACTCCAGTGAGCGCCATGAGCGACGCACTACACTGGTCGCGATGGAATTGACGCCGTACAACATGCATATTGCGGCTCAGTGAGATTCGGCTCGCGAACTTTACGCTTTGCATTTGGGGGGAAACACGCTGTATTTTCCCTTCATTTGTGGTTAACATCACTTGTGCGAGCTGTCCTAGCCACTGGCACTTTTTGGTGATGTTCCATGCACTCTATGTCACTTGTTTTTTACGTTGCTGCGTTGTTAGGCGCTTGCCTAAGTGAACTGGTGAATCGCAGTTTTGCAAGTGGTTCTGGGTTCACCTGACGAGTAGGCACCTCTTCCACCCTTGTATGAGATCCAATGGGGATATGCACCCCGTATCTCTTGGATCACATCAGAAATGGAGAGTTTGGGAACTGCTTTATCCATACACTGCACAGACTTGTTCCATCCGGAGTTGGACTCGTCAGATAGAGATAGACCTGACTAACTTGACGGCTTGCATCTTGGTCACTAATCCAGAACTCCGCTAGCAACGTTTGACAGTCGGTATAAGATTAACAATCTTGCTGAATCCTATGGGTGGCTGTCTTGCAGCGTGCATTTTCTGTTGTGACGGTATTCAGAAAAAACAAACTGCAACCTTCTGGATCAAATCCAATGGCAATCAATACTCCTAATTCGCTTCGTTAGTTCTCTCGTAACCTAACATGTATATCAATCCAAGTATGCTGTCTCTTGCAGACCAACCTGCCATACCCACTACACAAAATTCAGCCCTAATCAGAGAAGCGAAATGCCGATGCATATATATATATATATATGTATATATATACATATATATATATATATATATCTCCTGGTGAGTTGTGACTAGGTCGCCCAAACCGTGCTTATAGCTGAGTTTTACTTAATTTTGTCACTTATCAAGCTTAGTAGATAGATTTTAATCGAACTCACACAGGTTGACAGCTGTGCATGTCACTTGTGACGGCATCGTTGTTCCTGTACCACGGTTGGAATTTCGTTTACATAACAAAATGTCACTCATTCCAGTGTTGTAAAGCTCTAGCATAACGCCCAATATTTGTCTCCCACCGAAGAGCTTTTAGCGTTTCCGATAATTACAGTCAACTCACTGGTCTTGTTCTTCTTTGTATTTTCTCATTAGGTGTGCTGGGAAATTTGGCACTCCATGTGGCCTCAACAACTATCGACACCGGTATGACGAACAAGATTCTCAGCAGGTATATTTCGTTCACTATCGACAACTGTTGTGCCGTTTGTGGGTACACCCGAGCTGGTCACATCCTCTGTCGCATGCTCCATTAACCGTTTCTCATAGGCGAATAAATCGTTCGAGTTGATCGTAATAGTTACAAATGTTTTCATCTGCCGCTTTCATCTTCTGTTCCACTGTGTTAGCGGCAGTTCCCAACCAACCCGGCTTAAACAGCCTTTGTGGTGCAATCCTGAGAGAACAAAATAAAATTGCACTGCTTTGAAACAATTATCGTGGTCAAAATCAGCGCAGTTGGCTGCGATGGAAATCATGACCTCAAATGTTTGTACTGTGATGCAGTAACAACGTGATGATTGTCACGTATCAACTGGGCCTCATTTGGACTTCACAACTGTTTCCATCCAGCCTACTAGCCCATGATCAGAGTTCAGCAGGTGGGTGGACGGTCAACAGTCCTAACTCATTTGTATCACCTCCATTGGAAGAGCCTGAAAAACGAGTTCTGTCTCCATAAGGCACGACCATCATAAACACCCAACAGATATCACGTGTCTGTCTAGAAAGGTTTACTCACTGACTTTCAATGTGGTTTACGCAGCGCCATGAAAGATTGTAATGCCGCATCAGACCGGGTTATCGGGTCATTCCAACTCAATCACAGGAGCAGCGCAGTTGATAAAACTTTTGGACTTAAATGCCGTTCCGATAAGATGACTGTGTCCCGAATACAAAATCCTGTTTCTCAAAACAGTTACGTTGCACTGAGTCAGCGCAACTGCATCAGGTGACATAGATCAGCCATTCTCAACAAGAGCCACGAAGAATTCCTTGGGGTTTTGGGATGAGAAAACTTTTTAGGGGGGCCATGAGAGGGCCATGCTGTGCCAAGTGGATTGTGATAACATAAATAACAAAATTCATTAAACCATTTTCTGATAGTTTCGCTCCACCCACTAGTCTCCCCTGGTAACTACTGGTCAGTGAAATGAATTACGCGCACAAGTAACTGTTTACCAAGTTGTGAACTCCAGACTGGCCAGACTTTCTGTTGCGGAGCTGCCATAGCTCCGACAAACGTGCGCAGATTTCGCCGTGCTCACGTTAAACATACAATCACCACATGGACTGGGTAATTCGCTTTCCATTAATTCCCAGTTTCAGAATACAAATAGGTTTTCTGTAGTCTTGTATAATGACAACGTTTCGCCCTTGACACAAGAGCTTCTTCAGGTCAGGTGAACTAGTACATCTTTGGCTTGACATTTTATTGCAAATAGAATACTGATAGCGTGAGATAACCTGGGTCAGTGGAAAAAAGTGGTAACAGTTTCAAAGGACCAAGCGGTCAATCTGGTGGAACTATGAGCATGGAACTATTCCAATTGATCTATGTATTGGGTCATTTTTACATGGGAGGCAGTGGCAATGTTCCTCTTGGCTTCAGTGATGTCAGTTCGGCTGTTCCGCTCTAACCTGAGTCTGTCCGTCAAAGCTGCTCAGACTGGCCGGGTTAAGACAGCCCGTCACTCGTCCGATTGTTCCATGCCGTCGACTCAGTTTACGTTGTTAGTGGCTTTGGCGATTTCTATCGCCTCGGCAATTAATCTTTGGCTTGTCGTTCTTGCCCCCCCCCCTCCTAAGGATCTACATTGTCCCAGTCGGTTGCGTGTCCTGAGTCTAACGCATGTACCGCTACCACCGAATCTCTTAGTAAAGGCTTGTATTCAGGCTCATTTTTTGCTGGACGCGAAACGTACCTTGTGTGTTATGTTATCCTAGTGCGTAGTTCTCTCGCTGTTTGTACAGCTGTGCACAGTCCCTGGAACTACTTTTATAGACACAATTGGTCATCCTATCTTTCGGAGATGGCATCTTCAAACGCACCACTGCTGAATGGAATATTTGACCTCTTTAGAAAACCACTTATCCTCTCCTCATTTAGTACCCGCCTGATCGCTTCAGTGGTTCCCTCTTTATAAGGAACTCCCACCGTCCTAATCCATTCCGTCGTACTTCGTTTAGGTTTAGCGCTTTCTTCAGTCGACGTTTAACTAACCTCCTCGAATATCCACTACTTATTAATTTGTCCATTGCCTCTTTTCGGGCAGCCCTCCTGTCCTCTTCCTCTGTGCACAGAGTCTGGGCCCTGTGAAACAGAGTGGATGCAGTCGCAGCATGCACGTGTTTCGAATGACCTGAACTATAGTCTAGTACTCCATGTGTATCTGTTGCTATTCGATTTATGGCTGTTTTTAGCCGTCCTCCGTTCTTGTGAACTAAACAATCAAGGAATGAGATTGTACACCAGCAAGATTCTAGTTCCATCGTAACCTTTATGTTCTTAGTACTGGAGTTCAGATAGTTTATAAACTGCTCTTTCTTATCCCGCCTAATGCTAACGAAAATATCATCGACGTAGCCCAACCAAATCTTTGACGAGTTACTGGAGTTTGTCAACGCCCACTTTGCAAAGTCTTCCATACATAGATTTGCCAGTACCGGGGATATTGGCGACCCTATGGCAAGGCCCTTTTCCTGAGCATACAGCGTCGACTGGAACGTGAATTATGACATACGAAGACACTTTCATTCCTTTTATTATTTCGTCTACTGTGAGTTTCGTTCCTTCCCCCAGGATAATGTCCTCAGTCAAATAGCATTGTGCTACCCCCAATACGACACGCTTTTCACGTTCGCAAATAGTAAACTAACGTCGAAGCTAACCATTAGTTCATCTGACTCAATTGTCAAACCTGTCACCTTTTGCGCAAAATCATAAGCGTTCTGTTATTTCTGTTGGGTGCTTCGACAAACCTGCCAGATATCTGGCTGATTCATGGGTTGGAAAACCGATCCCAACCAAAATGGGCCAAATGGGAATGCTGGGCTTATGAATCGTCGGTAGTCCATAGATTTTAGGCGGGAGGGTTGATTTCGGATATATATATATATATATATATATATATATATATATATATATATATATATAACCGTTTATTCGGTCCAAGGCAACCCTTTACACTTTTCAGGTAATTGCTAACCTCGGTTTTATTCTTATTACCGATGATACGGTTTTCTTGTCAATCCCTGTGTAAGGTACGGAAGTTAAATGCTCCTCTATTTTTCCTACATAATCCGATTTATTCATTATCACCATGGTCTTACCTTAATCGGTTTTTGTGATGAAAATGGTAGAGTCTTCCTTTAGAGCTTTTGATGCGGTATGCTCTGCTGTTGCAAGATTCGGGACTTGATTGTTGGGACTTGATTATATCTGCTACCAGTGCACGAATATTCTCAGATTTTGGAACAGGTAATTTTGTTATTACTGTCTCAATGTTAGAAGGTAGTAGTGACAACATCACCTCGTTCAAAAGCTAAAAATATTCGTGCACTGGTAGCAGAAATAATCATATTTCAACAGTCTTTGAAACCCTTTGAAACTGTAACCACATTTTTCCACTGACCCAGGCTATCACTCTATCAGTATTCTATTTGCAATAAAATACCAAGCCTAATCTGTACTAGTTCACCTGACCTGAAGCGGCTCTTGTGTCAAGGACGAAACGTTGTCCATATACAAGCCTATAGAAATTCGAATTGTATTCTAAAACTTTGAAAATATTATATCCCAGTCGGTTCCCAGTGTATTCCAGAACATTGCGTTGCTTTCCATTAAATTGTTAATTAATCATATATATATATATATATATATACAGGCGGTAGGCCTACATGCGCAATACGTGGCCAAGCCAACGCATCCGGTGTCGTAGAATAATGTTTTGGAGGCAGGGGTATTCGCTCCAATAACTTGGGATTATGTTTTGCTTATGTGATGTTGCCACCACACGCAAGTACTCCTACGCTTATAAAGATTATGAAGAGTTGGCATTCGCCTCATGTGTTTCGAGCGAATGGGTCGGGTCTTATCCGTACAAGAGGACTGTACGGATGGAAGCAACTTATGCTCTGATCTTGAGCTTCAAACTGACATCGGGACGACGCCATAAGTCTCTCAGCCTGATGAATGCAAGGTGAGCATTTGCGATCCGTTAGGAGACCTCATCTCCTATGTCACCGCCAACCGTGATGTAATTCCCTAAATAAGTGAAGCTGGGGAGTTGTTCCAGAACGTCACTGGCAATGGCGAGGTCAGGCACAAACATCTAACAAATCCTGGGGTAGTGTTCTACATTTGCTTTGGGTGAACTACAAGCAATATTTGGGCGCTTCCATCGGCATGCGATTCAGAGCGCTGTGGACGGTTTGTCGATCATACCCCAGCAAAGCGATATCATTGGCTTAATCCAAGTCAGCAACTCCGTTTTCAGGGAGAAGCTCAATACCGCACTTTTGGATATCTTCCAATGCTCGTTGGAGCACAACTTCGATAGCACACTTGAAGAGGAATGGTGAAATAGGCTAACTTTGGCGAACACCGCTGGTGACAGCAAACAGTAGGGAAAACCTACCTTGAGCCCTGACTTTGCCCGACTGTGACTGTAAACTTCCTTCCGGATGGCTACAAATCTGTCGGGCACATTTTCACAACACAGATCTCTCTACTGAGTCAAATGTCACTCAGATGTCCAAGAACAATATGATTTTGAGCTTTTAGTGGGCATGGCGAAACTCGAGAAATTGGTGAATTGTGAAGATTTGGGCAATGCAGCCTCGACGTGGACGAAACTAGACTTATTTCTCTCAAGCAAATCCTCTTATAATCACTGGAAGTTTGCGAAACAGAACGGACTCGACGATCATGGAAACAACAGAGATCAAGGAGATTTCAAAGTAATTGGCACAATTTTCGCGGGTGCCTTTCGTAGAATCGAAACAGTGACCGATTCTCCCCATGAGTTTTAACCTTCTCGTCAGTCCAAGCCTTTGTAAACAACGGTAGGATTTTGTCGAAAAGTAAATTCCCGCCATCTTTGGTTAGAGCCGGGGTAGGCTATTATGGCGGGGGTTTTATGACGTTTCAAAGATTGGATTACGCGTCGGATCTCTACTTCAGTGGAGGAGCCGTGGAGACAGGCCAGACACCATCCAAAGCGAAACTGACATTGTACAGGTGCTGTGCTGAGCAGTTAAATTGGAGGACACCGTGCCTCGCCCAGCGATCTGTACAGCCTGACTCACAGGTTGTCTGACTGATAGCATGTGAATCGCAACCGGTTTCTTTGATGAGGAAAGGTAAACTGCGGAAGTTTCCAGCCAGTACAGCGGCTTCCATCTCAGCAGCTCGTTCTGACCGACAGAATACACGATCAGAGATAAGGCTTGTCTTCAGCTGTTGACAGAGACCGACAGAATTCTTTCTGTTCCGTACGGACGATCTAACAGTTCCGAGGATGTTGTCGTGATTCAGCTTTTAGCTGTACAGCTGATAAGGCCGCTGTTGGACAAGCTGGCGGACAGTATGGCTGGTTGCAGGCTTGACCAGTTTCTGTCAACATCCAGAGTAGGAAAAAGAGCGAGATTTTCACAATGCCTATGTTGGTAATCTGTTTTCACCGTCGCGTCCTCCAACTTGTAGGTGTTCAGTCGAGTTTGCTTGATCCTAGGTAAGCTACCGAAACGCATGCAAACTGTCGCACACACCAATGCATTATCGGTTTCAACGCAAGTTGACCGAAATGAAATGCATCCGCGTTCACTGCCGCACAAACTGCGACTTATGACTGTGTGATTAATTTGTGCTCAGTGCCTGGTTGACGATGGAGGACGCCAGGTAGCATGGTGACTTCCAGGATGACGAAAGCTCGTGTTGGAGAGCAAAAGTAGGTCGTTATTTGTTAACCGGTGGTTTGACAAGTGCTGTTCAGGTCATTGATTTGCCGTCAGTTCAATTCAGTGTAAGCACTACTCAAAGTAGTGAAGTATTATCAACCATCGCCATGTAGTTTAATTCTTTTCTGTGTCATGTCAAGAGTTCACCTCATTCCCACTTGCATATTTCTTCTTTGGTTTTGGTAAAATTACGCTGAAAGTAGCTGACTTCCGCCAACTATAAGTAAAACATCTTCTTGGTCTGCTGCTCTTTCTTCATCTCTTATAGTCTTTTGGAGACCGGATGCCTCGATGGAGATCGTCGTGTTCAGGAAGCTTCTTTACACTCGCTGTGCTTATGGAATTCGATGTATGAGCATACACGCGAGGTACGCTGAGTAACCTGAGCAAGTAAAGCAGTTCTATCTTTATCCATTTTACTATGAGTTTTAAATTCACAAGAGCACTAATACAGACTGGTCTTACATCACACAAACAGTTTCCACAATGTCATGCGTCGATAATTGGAAGTATATCCATTTGGTTCAACTTCCGTGATTATCCATCTTGAGACGGTATAAGATTTTAAGCAGAATTGTTAAGCTAATGGAGCATCAAAGAAAATACGATATTCAAAACATAACTATTCTGACTGAACCAACCGGAGCGATCGGAATTAGCAATTCTTGCCCAGTATGCCAATATGGCGGCTTTTAATGCGTAAACCGTGTACCGATTCACCGCTCAAATGGAATGACTAGATGCAGCCGGAGTGCTATGTGGTAGGACCATGTCAGCTAGACATCATAATGCAATTAGCGTTATCAAGAATGTGGTTTGCTTGATAGTGTAGGAGCAGTGTGAGCGAGCCCCTTCATCGTGTCCTTGATGTTTCCGCTGTAGCCCTCATGCCACAAGGTATTTCGTACCCGACCCCATCCGTTCGATTTAGTCCACGTTTGTATATTCTGTAACCTATTCGAAACCTGCTGAATGACAGTGAGATGAAAGGATATTGACTGACTCAATGGTTATATTCATCGCTGTACCGTCGATGTCTAATCCAACATTCGAAAGGTTGGAACAAAACCACCTACAGTTAAACTAGTACGGCGAGCTGAGCTGGTATTTCGTTAGCAAGATGAAGAACCACTCAAATTTTGCTACCTTGGATGACACATTCCGACGGCCTGGTCCACCGTACAAAATCATTATTTGTCCGAATATGTGCGAAACAAGGAACCTTTGGGTGGTCTTTAAAGTTCATCTCTAAAAATGACTATTTACTAAGTTACACTGTGCTAAATTTAAATTAAAGGAAGAGATAGACGGTTTTATTTACCTTAAACTTAATTTGAGTAGAGGAAAGTTAAAGTTTATTGCTTTCTGTTCAATGCTTAATTCGTATTAATCTACCGAATTCACCTAGAAGAATAATTTTTATTGGGCCAATGCGCACTATCCAAATCTTTTTCGATAGCAATAACTCCAACAGTACTGTAGCAAGGTATGGATGCATATGTTATTATCGAACATGTGAAGTGAAATGTTATCCCCAAACACTGGCTATCCGTGACCCAGCACAGAATAAACACGAAAGCACATTACGCATCCCCACTTTAGGGCGGTACTTTGTTCTTCAGGAAGAACGATTATCATCGGGTGCGTACTGTACATGCAGCTGCGTAAAGCGATGCCCAGACACATTCAGCAGTACCTGCAGGAACCGGCTGTTTCAATCGATTTGGAGTTGTTTTACCTCGAATACTCAATAAGTGCTTGTTCCATTCCTAGCTCGGTTGCTTCTACCAGGTGAGTACAAGCCAGGACGAAATCGCCGGTCGTGGAATGCAGGGATGGGAGAGAGCCGCACCGAAACCCATCACTACGGGGACTGTCCTAGTGCTCGTATTGACGGTGGCAAACGTCATTTCAATCGAGGCCACAATCGAAATTGCTTATCGGATTCCAAAACACATACCGGGTGCTCTAAAACCCGAAAATCAACTTCCTACTGCTGTGTCAGGCACTGCTCGCGGAACCCAATGAAACTTGTGGTCATGGCAATAGCTGCCAATCACTATAGACCGAGTTCCACTTTCAACTCGGCCATTTCTACTTGATGAGTCCAAAGCAAGACGAAACCGTTGGTCATGGAATGCATGGATAGGGAGAGCCACACCGATACCTTCCAATTACTTGTTTTGATTTTATGCGCTATTGTCATCATTCTCACCGAGATCACTGGGAGTAGATTATCCAACCATTCAAGTAAATGTCATAGTAAACTAATTGATTTGCAAGGTCCTTTCGTTCTACCTTTGTCGTTTACGAATGTTTAAAATGTCCACTATGGCTTTGTTTATGACCAGCCAACCCTTCCTGCAGAAAGATCGTGCATTTAGTACAACTTGCACTCAAGTGCCGTTTAATCACATCCCAATGCGCACCTGTTAGTTTCCGTGGAGCCAGCAAGTAACTCTCTTTCCCAGAGTGGCAGTGTGTCAACTGTGACATAGCTAAGTTTGCGTCGTTCGTAAGCACATATACGCCTGTGTTCAATATTGCCTCTTGCTCCACTTCTGCCGAGCAGATTTTGATTGCATCGATTGTCAATTATGACAAATTTTACTATAGCAGGATTGTCGTTCTATAGATTCTTTTGACTGCCAGTGCAAGTTGGAAGATAAATTGCTCTTTCCTTGAACCTCCTGTCGGTTCAACTCGAAGTAAATGCCGGATGATGTCGTTATCCTCAGCAAGCCCATTTACGTGGACTATTCGCATATCTCCTTGTTTTATTGAGATTGATTTGACCACGTTAGATCATTGATCACATGAATGGTTAGGTTAGTTGGCCACAATCCTTATCTTGTTCCGGGTGATCCTGATTCATGCTGACGTCCCTTTTCAGATATTGCTTGAACTCGGGGCCACAGCAAAGTTGCGCAACTTACAGCGTTCTATGACAAGCGCCGGTGTATCACGATTTGGTCGCAAGGTTCTTCCTTCAAGACCTCAAAGTCGACCGAAGTCGAGCAGTTTGGTCACGAACGATATAATCGCCTCTTACGCATCGGCACTTTGCGAAACTCTTCAATAAAAGTGTACAGCATTTCTTCTGCTTCTGCATAATCCCCACTGCCGCTTCTAACAAAATTTGTTGAACGGTGGCTCCACTCCGATGACTTTTGTGTGAAGATTCACAATTACTTCCTGTTAACATTTGATGTACTATTCGGGTAGTTCTTTCTAACTGATGTGATCAATCTGCAATGTATGTTTTCATGCTCTGGTTATTTCAGCAAATAGTACCAAAAGACTTTTGTATACGATCGTCTTGTCTTAGGAGAGTAACCGCCTTATTGACTAATCGGGGGGCTCAGCAAGCAATCAGCTGTGTATCTTATTATGCCACTCACACTTCCCCTAAAATATCCAAAGTTCTCGAGACGCAAATTGGCGATGTCATCTCGTTTGCGATAGTTGACGAGATAAACTGACTTCTATGGTTGCGAGTCAGCTGAGCTTGGATTTACAGAGTGTTTATGACAAAGTTTTCAATTAGGCCTCGGAAGTTAAGGCAGCAAGAGGACGGGAGTCGATGGAAAGCCAAATATGTAAGTTCGAACATTCGATGGCTGCACATAGGAAGGCCGATGGTCGTATTGATAAGCCTGTAGCTAGTAGCAACTATTGTAGACTTGTTTTCATGTCAGATAGGGCGTCAAGTGAACAGAATGTAGAGTTTTAGAAAAGGGTCTGAATTGTACCATCAATAAATCTAAATTAAGGACAGAAGATGTAATTCCTGGACTTGAACCTGTTATGACTAGATTATCAGTAGAAAAGGCAGAGAACATCCGCGCACAATTAGCAAATTTAATTAGATTTCAACAGCCGGCAAACTCCGATTTTGCTCCAGCTGAATACATAGCGTTAAAGACCTTGCAAGAGGATTTTAGCATTGTCATTACAAGAGCGGATAAAGGTAATGAAACAGTGGTAATGAATAAAACGGATCCTTTAGAAAACATGAGGGAGCATTTGACCACGGTATCGTACAATGTGTTTGAGCAGAAAACGATTAGATCGGTAATGAATAAGAAGAAATCAGATGTTAGAAGTTACCTAAGGACCGTGAAGGACAGTTTAGGAAAGGATAAATGGTACGGCATCTATTCGAAGTCGGCTATTCCGCCTAGATTTTACGGTCTCCTAAAGATACACAAGCCCAACGTCCTCTTGCCACCTATAGTGGATGGCATAGGCTCTCCCACACATCAGCTCGCGAGAAATCTGGCGAGCCCGCTGCAAACCCCTAACAGGGAGAACGAACACCTTTGTAAAAACACTCATGAGTTTGCACGAATGATGTGAGGGGTGAGCATCGAACAAGACGAATTTATGATCAGTTTCAATCTTACCTCTTTGTTGACGAATATACGCATGGATGATGGGTTACGATTAGCGAGAAGCTGCTTGATAGGGACAGTAGCTTAGAGGACAGAACAAAGTGGACAGTGGGTCAACTGGTCGAGGGGATAGCTTTGTGTCTCGAAATGACTTATTTGATATTCCAGTCTAGAATGTACACTCAAAAACCGGGTCTGGCCATGGAATCTGCAGTATCCCCCGTATTAGTCAATATGTACATGGAAGAGTTTGAAAAGAAGGCATTGCCGAATTCCCGTGGTGCCCTGAAGATATGGTGGCACTACGTGAATGACGCTTGCGACTACAAAAAGATATAGCAAAGAGGAATCGTTACACTATTTGAACTTCATTGACGATGCGATAAAGTTCACCATGGAACTTGAGTCGCAGAGCGGTGTACGTCCGTTCCTTGATTGTCTAGTCCATATGAAGATAGGAACGTTAAAAACGGCAATGTGTCGCAAACCAATGGACACAGATGGGATACTTAGCTATAGTTCAAGCCACCCGAAGCACGTGTATGCGGGAATCACCTCAACACTGTGTCACCGAGCAAGTGCTCTGTGCACGCATGAAGAAGCTAAGAAAGCAGTGCAGAGGGAGGCGATGAAAAACAGTAGCTAGTGGATATCTGAAACGATTGATGAAACGACGGCTTCAGAAATATCTCAACCCACGAGCAAGACCAATCACAGAGTGGATAGTGACAGTGGGTATGCCGTATAAAGAAGGAACCTCGGGAGCGATTCAGAGAGTACTGAATAAGGAGAAGATAATGGTAGTTTTCCAGTAGGGTCAAACGCTAGGGTCCAGTTTGTGCATCTGAAGGATATACACCCATTAGATAGAACAACTAACGGTATCTACAGAATTCCATGTGAACATTGTACGCAAGTGTATATAGGCCAAACAGCGAAGAATTACGTACAAAGATTTCAGAACAAAAGTGACACATCACGACCTCCGCTACATGAGCTAGAGTATGGAGCTCTACTCAGAGACTCGGCAAAAGCAATGTATGCGCTAGACACGAGACACGAAATTGACTTTGAAAATGTTGAGGTTATCAGCAAGCGATTACGAGCAGTCAAACAAAGGCTGATTGCTGAGACTATAGAAAAACAAAAACTGCGTGAATAGTATAGACGGAGTAGGACTGTCTAGTGCCTAGTGTCCAGTCTTACTCCCGCCAGGTTGATAAGCATCGGTGGGTGGAACCCAAATCGGAATGGACTATCAACGCTCCCTCCACCAAATTCCTAAGTACTAAAGACAAGTTATCTCAGTGACCAAGTTCCTTGTAACGGTCCACTTAAGAGTGCTGACCACACATGTAACTATCCTCGGACCAGCAATTTCTGTTCCCCATGTGACCCTAACTAAAAGAATCCATAGTGTATACACTAGCCTAGTGACTTTGCCCGCTGTACTCTTCCATCAATGAACTGCACATTGATTAGTCTCTGTAGGTAGCTTGGCCATGATCGTTACCAAAAGCCAACGTTAAGCTAATTCACTTTGTCTGACGAAACTTTTCTGTCAAATCCAAAATGTTGTGGACCATCATAAATATATTTGCCGGTTGTCTACCAAACCATCTGGAATGAACTACCTGAGACGTTTTTCACTTCTGCAAAATATCAAACTAATTATGTAACCCGCGAAGCTAATGCGTTTATTTACTTGGTTTACTGAATCCATCGACAAGTGCTTTACAGGGGCTAGGGAATTCGTCTAACCAAATTCATCTGTGTCGATTCTGCCTTGTCTGTTTGTGCGCGTTTGCAGAGAGGTTGTGGAAAGCTGCGGGAGTTGCGTTGCTATGTACAAAAGCCAAGAGCCAGATATTTATCTTTCTTGACTGAGGCAGTAGTTTGCCACTTATCCCGGAGTGGGCTTTTGCTACATCTACATGACTTTCTCAAGAAATGGGCAAATGTAAACAAAGTACAAAGTACTAGTTCTTTGCTGCACAAGAGACAAGAATAGGTTTAGTGATGTTAGTCTTATCAAGTGCATAATATCGGAGGTGGCAACATTTGGTACAGCTCATTGTTGCTTTACTCGCAACTAGCTGGAGAGTCGAACGAGGTAAGGGGCATATACAAAATTTGTGGTGCGTAATCTAGTAATAATTAATGCCAATCTAATCGATCATATCTTGCTCCCACAGCTCATATTCGGGCAGGCTAGTAGTATAGAGTTCGGATACAACGGTGGCACTCGAAAATTGTGTAAGTGAGCGTAAAACTCCCTGCTGTTATCCAATGCTTCAATGTTAACTTTATCCTATTCCACGTGCATGCGTATGTGGAAAGGATAAGGCTACACTAAAGCTTGGAACATGCATTCGTTGAAGGAACCGAATAAACCCAATTACTTAACGGATGTCGAGTGGCTTTGTTTAAATAAACTGAAAACGTGTGGTTCAATTCTGGTTTGCCAAACAGTTGGGACATGAGTATATGTTTATATTCTCTACGCAACCAATAACAATCCAAACTGACAACTTTACATCGGCCACAATAGTTGATCTTGGAAAAGCCTTTTAGCCGTTTAGTGAAACCGCGCTGAATTTTATGCATGGTTCATCTATCATTCCATTTCGAGTTACTAAGCACCAGGTTTCTAAAGGTGACAGAACACAGATATTGCATTAATTGATCCCAGACTCCACAATCGTGATGGAACTGGAAATTAAGACAATATGAACTAGTGTATTCACTTCTGTAGTGCACTTGACTTGTTTATCAAAGTTGGTGAGGGGAGGGAAGTTCGAGTATTGCCCACATGGATCGCGGCCGTGTGGCGGCTAGCCAGTGATGTCCCATTGTGTCACAGTGCAGAAAGGGCTACAGTACAAAGATATGAAATAACATTCCATTGGCCATGCATGAATTTCATCTCACGGTTTGCAGCAGCTTTTGAAATGCTTGTGATTATGTATGATATTAATGCTGCTTTACTTTAAGGGCAATTTGTAAACAGAAGTGGATCTAAATGTCATCGGTGAGAAGAAACTGGTTCTCTTGAGAGAATACCTGGAACAGATGGTCATCACACACAGAAAAGCAAGGGATCCAGAACGCTATTGCGCAATAATTGAGGGAACCGCTTAACTGCGGTTGGAACGACGCGCTTTTAATTATGTTAGTAATTGGTATGAAATTCAAAGGTAACATAAGCACGGTCAGTTAACTTGGATGGGATATTAGGCTGAAGGATTTTTCATGTCGGAAATACTATAATCATAGCACGCATCAAGTCGACGCGAATATCCAAGTGATCTGGGAACTTCAACATATATCTAGCGAAAATTTACCCAAAGACGACTGTGTTGCAATTTGTGGTTAAGGTTGCGCGATAAGAGAACCTTGGGCGTTTCCTCTTTGGCACCCATTCCTATGCCCCTTGACATAATAGAGGTGTGATGGAGAGCATAACATTTGTCAATAGCTGTAGGAATGCTGCATCTGTGTCTTGTCAGATAAATCACATGTTTTCATTAGATTGGGAGTGTACCGCTCAACATAGAAAGAGTGTAACTGATTGTGTGAATGTGTAGTATATTTTAAAACTATCTAGTTTATAGGCAAGACAGAAGTTGGGCCACGAGAGTCAGAATTGTATGATATCTTGAACAATCGCATCACTTGTATGCTCATAGTTGAGTTGAAAGCAATGGTGTCCTTCGTCCTTCTCACCCAAACCTCACTGATGGCAAACAATTTCCGACTGCGGTTACATAATGATAACTTGAACGAATTCACTGGGACTTCATTTGAGGCTTGGGGATGGACGAGGCGCAGGTCCTATGCATCACTTGGTCCACTTAATGTTGTTGACACAGGGATGGCTTCAA